AAAAAAAAAAAAAAAAAAAAAAAAAAGTGTTTTTGTGTATGCAAATGCTAATACTATCGCGCGATTACCGCGTATTTTTGGTAAGCAAAGCTAAGGATGGTTCACACGTGGTGATGAATATCCGTCGAAATGCCGTATAAATAAACAGCAATTTTGTAAATTCACAAGACTTTTACGAATATCTTAATTAATATAATCTTAATTAATATCTTAAATTAGTTAATAGATTGATATAAACATTGTGACCTATAACTAAAATTTATTAATATATTATAATTAATAAATACAAGAATCCTGCAACGAATTTTTCAGGTCAGAAATTGGCATCGAAAAGTAGTAATTTTTCAATCGCGATCTTCGTATTTGTCGGTTCATGGAAATAGCGACGATAAATATATAATAATTAGTTTATAGTTTTTATTATAGTTATAATAATAATTATATATATATATATATAAATATATATATATGTATGATTTTTATTATATACTTATATTATTATTATATTTTTATTATATATACATATACATATATATACATATATATTCATATATATACATATATATACATATATATTTATACACATATACACATATATATATATACATATACGTATATATATACATATACGTATACATATATATATATACATATATACACATATATATATATACATATACATATATATATATATATATACACACACGTGTATATATATACATACATATATATAATATACAATGTATATATAATATATATATACATATACATAAATATATATATACATGTACATATATACATATATATACATATACATATATATACATATATACATATATACATATACATATATTCATATACATACATATATACATATAAACATATATATATACATATACACATATATATACATATACACATATATATATACGTATACATACATATATATATATACATATATACGTATACGTATATACATATATATTAAATACATATATATATATATATATATTAAAATTTGCATTATTAATGTGACTATAAACGAATTATTATATATGTTTATCGTCGCTACTTCAATGAACCGAAAAAAATACGAATATCGCGATTGAAAAATTACCTTTTGATTCCAATTTCTGACCTGAAAAATCGTTGCAGTAGTTTTTGTATTTATTAATTGAAATATATTAATAAATTGTAGTTATAGGTCACAATGTTTATATCGATCTATTAATTATTTGGTAATTATCTTATTTAAGATGTTAAGATATATTAATTAAGATATATTAATTAAGATATTCGTGTGAAAATTATTTACATAGGCCTAATTGCAGTTTATTTATACGGCATTTCGACGGATATTTGTCACCTCATTTGAACCATCCTGAGCTCTGCTTACCAAAAATATGCGGTAATCGCGCGATAATTAGCATCTGCTTTTGTTTTGTTTTACATTTACATCCAGCGTTAGGCCCACTGAATTGTTTAATGCTTCATAAATTATGTGGTTAACATAGAATTTACAATGAAACTGATAGTTTATAAGATTATTTTTTTGAAACAGAATACCGTAAAATAGGTAACATTTTATTGAGAAAAAAAAAACAAATTTTACGCAGAGCTGTGTTTGTGTACCATCCAAGATGGCTGCCATAGATTCAGCCAATCAAATTTCACCTAAGCCCTATCATTTTCAATGGCGCCCTCAATTTACACAGAAAGTTCAGTACAGCTAGTTACCCGTATATTTGAAACTCGAGCGTTGCAGTGTATAGGTGTAATGTACACGATTTTAATTTTTTTAATTTTTGAATAAGATGCTCTACTTGGCCTCTTTTTGGCTACGACAGTTTAATAATTTGTTATTATTAATACTAATTATCATTAATGAAATAATTAGTCAGTCAGAGGGCTTATTTATGGTAATAATATGTATAGTAAGCCTGAAGGTGGCGCTTTCTTTCGGCGGCCATCTTGGATGGTACACATACACAACTCTGGATTTCTTCGCCATCTTGTCAGAACTTTAGTTGTTTAATAGCTCTATGCTCGCGAGTCACGTAAACAAAGTGTCAACGCGCTGGGAGTTCAAGTCGCGCCTGCGCAGTGCGCTGATTGGTAATCGGATCTGCACGCATTCGGTGTACCAGCGTGCATGCCGTAAAATCAACAATAGAAAAAAGACATTCTATGGAAAGCCTAATTTCTCTCATGAATGATACGTTGCTTCTTTTATACACCAAAATAAAAGTTTTGCTGTTGCATTTTGCTGATTAACTTTCTAACTTGTCTCAACAATAGTTGAACAAAATAGAATATAGATCATCTGAAGAAATACGTACCTCATAGATTATGTATGTCTATGACATAACTGAACTGAACTTACGGAAGCACCTAAGTGCCATTCGACTTGACGACTTGTCAAGATAATTATGTTGTCAAGTCGACATAATATACATATCATGTCGACATGGCGAGATAGATTATCTTGACAAGTCGACATACTAAAAATTGTA